CCAAGTCCCTTTTGTTCTGAACAAAAGGGACTTGGCATAGGAAATGAGATATTTAGAGCCTGGCCAGCTCTGCATAACTTGATTGACACAGGGGTGAAGCCCTGTGGCACTACCCTTAGGTGACTGAGTTAAACTCAGATCTCCAGTGGAAGGTATCTCTATTTTACAGTTGAAGGAGACCTCAGAGTTTTTCACCACCGGTAAAACAGAGCAGAAAATTTCTATCTGGGTTCCTGATTTTGACATTATCAAATGCTATGAAACAAACTAATTATTTTCAAAGAAATATATGATAAATTTAATATCACTGGGAACAATAAGATAGCAGGACTTCTAGAAATGAATACAATATTTCATTACAAAATAATGCAGAACACAAGAAATCAATATAGAAATCACACTCTCAGTGTAACCTGAAGTGAGAATTCTTAAACTTCAAATTGAATAAAATGAGAGAAATCACCAAATCTCAGCATATACTTCCACATGCCACCCCACAACCCCACCACACCGCAAGGGGGGCGAAGGCAGATGGAACAGCCTGCAGGGAAGACAAGATGGATGCCAGCCAAAGCGCATAATGTCCTAACATCCGTCTAAAATCTCTGCCAGACTAAGTCCACCAAGGTCCTAACTGTCTAAAATGTGTGTCCAAACAGGTCAGAGCCCAAAGGACAGGCGAGATTCTTCAAAGTGAGTGTCATTTAAAGGGAGTAGGTGTGGTTTAAAGGGGCAATCTTTAGAATACAGCTTCCAGTGACTGTGATAAATGAACAAAGAAAAACACCCTTAGGGATGAAAGAGAGAAACAAAAGAATCCTCCTAGTGAAATAAGAACTACAGAACTGGAGCCCATTCAACCCCTCTCCACCACCAAAACAAACCAACACCCACCAAAGTACCTGAACTTTGCTCTATGGACAGATCTGTCATGAAAATAACAGATAGGAATACTGATAAGAAACAATTATATGAAGATGATATGATTATGTACATAGAAAACGAAATAATCTACAAATAAACTAGACATAATATGAGAAATTAGTTCTATTTCCAGCTCTAGGAAGACAGGCCTTATCAAGAACAGTTAGAAAAGCCAGATTGAAAAACAAAACACTGAAGAAATAGAGAACAACTAAGGTAAGAATGACTTAATGAAATCAAGAGTCTAGAGCCCAGGAAAGTGAGCAGTGATAGTAAAATGTTTATCTTGAGGCATTTGTTGATTTGTAAGTGCTGGTTGAGAGGTCAAGCAGGAGGCAGAGAACCCAAGGAGTTTTAGGTAGTATCACTGGCTGAAGGAAAATAATAATAACATCTCAGCACCTATCCCATGTAAGGTGTACTGGTAAGGAGGCTTTCCCTTAGGAAACAAATGGCTACCCCCACTCAAAGGGCTAACCCAAAACAGATCAGTTTTAACAAACAAGGAATCCCACCTGGCATTAGACTACCTCATGCAGGATTAAGCTGATCTGCCCCTCCTTGAACTGCCTGCAACAAACAGCAGGAAAGAGTCTGGAGGAAGATATCATCCAGAGCCTCAAATTTTATCTATAATATACAGTATCCACTCAAAAGTTAGTCTTATTAAAAACAAGATGAAATGATGAAAGATCAAAGGGGAAAAATAAGAAATAGTTCCATGAGAGGTACAGTTTTTCAGTTATCAAACAGATATTTTAATAATAGTGATGAATAGGGGCTGGGGATGTGGCTCAAGCGGTAGTGCGCTCGCCTGGCTATGCGTGCGGCCCAGGTTCGATCCTCAGCACCACGTATAAAAATAATAGTGATGAATAAATTTAAGAAAATAGAAGATGAAAAATGTTAGCAGAGAATTAAAATTTATTAAAAATTTAAAAGGAGAATTTCAGTTCTAGACAAGATGGGATAGAATTATTCCCCCATTCCTCTCATGAAATCCAGCAAAATGTTTATACATTATGTATATATTCAGAAATGTGGAAAAAAGGCAGACCAGACCAACTAGGAACCTCAGGATCTAAAAAACAAGGTAGAAGTGAGTTCCTGGCTTTTCTCTTTGCGTCATGTATCCTATGATATGTGCTAGAGAGTCTGGATATCCAAAGATGCTAAAAGGTGCAGACAAGAAAAATCCAAAGGAAAGCTTTTCTCTCCAGGGAAAGACCAAGAAACAAGTAGCCTAGCAAGACAGAATATTGTTAGACGATAATTGTGCTACTCCCGACAAATGCTACAGAACAAACCAAGACCCATTTCAACCCCTGGCCAGCAAAGGCTGAGGGGGAGGGGCTAGACAGGCATCCTCACCTTGCAGTAATGAAGTGCCCCCCCACATCCACACATAGTGGTCTCTAAGAAGGCAAAATAGGGGTCTGGGACTTTCACTGCTGCACAGTAATAATGAGGATCCCTGCTGTGATGTCAGTGGGGACCACATGGGAAGCAGTAACAAGGCTCTCTCCATACCTGGGATGTCAATGAAGGCCAAGGGAGCACCTGAACTTCCAGCCCCCGCCCCTCGAAGAACCAAGGCAGTTCCCAGCCTCTCCCACTGGCACAGTGTAGGAGGAAATCTACTAAAATGGAAGATTTAAATAAGATCCAGTCTCATAATACCTAAAACATAGCATATAAAATACAGGATTATATGGGATATAATTAAAAAAAAAAAAAAAAACTCATGTCAAAAATCCAGAAAATTTCAACTGAGTGAAAAAACACAATCAATCAATCAACAGACCCCAACATCAAGATGATAGATATGTTGGAGTTATCCGACATGGATTTTAAAATAGTGTAAAAGTACTCTGAAGCACTAGCCAAGCAACCCAGCTACTTTACTTAGGAGACTGAGGCAGGAGAATTGCAAGTTGGAAGCCAGACTGAACAACTTAGTGAAATTGTGTCTTAAAAAGTAAAAAGGGGGCTGGGGATGTGGCTCAAGCTGTAGCGCGCTCGCCTGGCTTGTGCGGGACGCTGGGTTCGATTCTCAGCACCACATAAAAATAAAATAAAGATGTTGTGTCCACCGAAAACTAAAAAATAAATATTAAAAAAAATTCTCTCTCTCTCTCTCTCTCTCTCTCTCTCCCTCTCAAATAAATAAATAAATAAAAAGGGCTGGGGATGTGGCTCAATGGTAGAGTTCTTGCCTAGCATATACCAGCCCTGGGTTCAATCTACAGTACTGGGGGTCGGGGGGGAAAGCATTTTAGAGAACAATTATAAACAACTTAGGACAAAAAAAAATTTTTTTTTAAGTCTCACTGACAGGCATGGTTGGCACATTGCTAATAATCTCTGCTATTTCAGAGCCTGAAACAGGATGACTGGTCTGAGCAACTTAGGGAGAGCCTGTCTCAAATTTATTTTTTGTTTTTTTAAAAGGGCTAGGGATATAGCTCAGTGATAGAACATACCAGGCCCTGGTTTTGATCCCTAGCAACACATACACACACACACTTTCACCAAGGAAACAGTCTTGGCAAAGAAACAGAAGATATAATAAGGAACTGAATGGAAATTTAGATCTGAAAAGTATAATAATTGAAATAAACTAAGCACATGGACTCAGTAGTAGAATGGAAGGGCCAGAGAAAGACATATTTGTCTGTCAGTGACCTAAAGATGGAATAGTAGATAACCTTCCATCTGAACAACAGAAAGACAGATTGAAAAAAAAAATTAGCAGAATCTCAGGGATTTGTGGGACTTTATCAAGAGATCTAGCAGTTGTGTCATCAGAATCCCAGGGAAGAAAGAGGAGAAAAAGCATGGGGCAGAAAATTTTTGAAGAAATAATTTCTGATATTTTCCTAAGTTGGGCAGAAGATTCGAGAACATGAACAATCCCAAACCGAAAAACTTCAGGAAATCTACACAGAGACACGATACTCAAGTTTTTTAAACTAAAGAAAAAGAACAATCAAGAATGGAGAGAGAAAAGATGGCAAAATCAATTCAAACGATAGCCAATTTCTCATCAGATGTGGTGGCCAGAAAAATTGGCACATTTTTTATTCAAATGCTGTGGGAAAAACGGAAAGAAAGAACTCCAGATTTTATATGAAAGAATCAACATTCTCATTTTTTTAAAAATGAATAAATTTATACTCACTGACCTTCTCTTTAAAAAAAAATGGCTGAAGGAAGTTCTTGCAACAGAAAGGAAATCTTAGAAGAGAAGGAATCTTAGAAAAGGAAGGAAGGAGGGAAGGAGGGAGGGACGGAGGGAAGGAGGGGTAAAATGACTACAATATGGGGAAATAGAATAGGGTTTTCTCTTGGATTCTGTATGTTTGACAGTTGAAGCAAAAATGACTGACGTGGTTCTCACTGCACAGGTAGAGGAAATATTAAAGACAATTATAAATGAGAGTGACATCACAAGAGGTAAAATGACTACAACTTCACCAGAACTGGTAAAGTATCAACTCCAGTGTTCTGTGATAATTTATATATTTATAGAGGGTGGGTTTGGACAGTGATTTTAACAGGTTGAGGGGTCAGAACGAGAGCATATGGAATCAGCATACACTTTCTAGATTTGCTGGCTGCAAAAAGGGAAGAAGGCTGGAACTCCAACTATCACAGACACAGAGGAATGGGGCCAGTGGAGAAAGGCACAGAGAGACTGGGCGATGGAGCACCGGCGGAGGTAGGATGAGGAAGAACCTCTGGCTTCCTAAGAGGCTGGCTGGGAAGGTGAGGGAGTTCTGTCTGAGGATGACTCTCCTCTCAGTCGTGCAGGCACCTGTTGAGAGAAGGGATAAATCAAAACCAAGGAGATGATAAAGATTTGATGCGCCCAAACGGGTCCCAGCATGAGGGGACCAGCATTCCTGGAGCTTAAAAGCCCAAGTTTTCGTCTTGCGACTCAAAAGCTGTAAGATAACAAATTGACCCACCAGGTGGCAGTGTTTGTGGATGTTCGAGTATCCCATCAGCCCTGGCGCTCAGGGCGGAAGAAGGGGCAGAGGTGACTCTCTGGCCCGCATCGCCTCTACTCTCCTATCCCGTCTGACGTTGGACAACAAAGATGGCGGCAGGAACCAGCAATTACTGGGAAGGTGAGGGCGAGGCCTCCGGGTGGGTCCCGCTAGAGGCAGAAGGGCTGACTGTGGCTAGATCTTGGGAGAGGTAGCAGAGGAAAGAGCCAGGCTTTAGGAGCGGCCGAGCTGAGAAGAGGAATTGCGTAGTGGGAGCCCTGGGGACCGAGGAAACCGAATGATCTGAGGGAGGGGGCTGGCCTGACCCGACGGTGTGAACGAGACCAGGGATTGGGGTTGAGCAGAGTGGACAGAGCGAGGTTGGAGAGAAAGAGGGGCCGGAGTCGCCAGGTAGCAATGGGCAAGGGGTAGTGAAGCTCGGACCACGGAGCTTTGGGTTCAAACTCTGAGTGAAGACGAGTGTTCAGCTAGAAAATCCAGAGCCAAGGGAGACTGGAGTTGTGAGCGCTTTGGAGTTGATGTCACTGTTGGAAAACTGAGTGGGAAAAGAGAAAAGGAGGAACTTAGTCTGGTCCATCCGGGGATTTTTGAGCTGAATATCTCCTGCTGGGTCTGGGTGGCAGGTTCAGGCTGAGATTTCGAGGACTGGGTGTTTGAAGACAGAAAGTAACTTTACCTTCTGTCCTGGAGTCTAGGATTGGTTTTGTTAAAGAGGAAGTTGGGAGAAACTGTGAGTTGTACTTCGTTGTACCTCTTGGGGGGGGGGGGGGAAAGAAAGAAAGAAACTAAAAAACTTACTGTGATTGACAAGTGCATTTATTTAATTCCTGAATATATGGTCCAATCAAGTGAGGTCCTATAAAATTCATTCCTGGACCATGATGAACAGCAAAGATGGAAGAAGTCTCATCTTTTTCTTTCAACTGCCTCTTTCCTTGCTGGAACATAGAAACTGCTTTCCAAATCCCTCTTACCCTTTTGAGCTGCGTCCTCTTGTTACCTACCCATCGAAGCCTCTGGAAACCATGACAATGTCACCGTCAGCAAGTTGATCTAAGAAACTGAATTTTATGTTTGTACATACTTGTCTTGACTTATTTTCAAAGTGCTTTTACTTGATGTTTCTGTTAGAAAAGACAATTACTAAAAGAGGAGCATACTTATAGTTTGAATTGCCCATATGAAATGTATGTACTAGCTAGAAAATATTTTTAAATTATGTACAAGTGTTTCCTGGTATCTTTAATACTAGTCATCAGGCTGTGCTTTTTTGAAGCACCATGCTATAATAATGATAGCAGTTCATTATTGACAAAATACTGTGGTCCATGGCTTTAAGCTTTTGCTTTTTCTAATGCATAAAAATTTCCTGAAGATAGAGGTTTTTAAAAATATTTGTAGATTAAGTAGCTTGCAAATAAATCTTAGTGCCAACGAGTAACAGCCAAGATTCAAACTGGGATTTTGTCTGGGAAAATATGTTCTACTATCTTACTCTGCTTCCTACTTCTGGTTGCAAAGTATTTGAAATACTGTTTTGTATTCTTTATCACTGAGACATTCTTATACCATATTTCCTATATTTCAATCCTTTTATTTTAATCTTCATGAATAAGAGTACTTCATCATGAGAAGAGTACTCAGATATAGATGTGTGGATTTCCAGATGTAGCTTCTCACACTCAGCCCCTTAAAATGCTAAACTACTATACCAATTTCTCTGCTTGCTTGCTTCTGCTTTTAAAATATGTGTTTTTTTGCCCTGTCATATTCATATTTGACCTTGTTAGTAGCACATGGTTAGTTTCACCTCTGAAATTTTTCAGTAAGTTTATGAAAAGACAATTTTTATTAATTGCAATATTTTTCTTTATGTTCAATTGCTAAGTATTTTACTATTAAGAAAAGAATTTCATAAGCTTGACAAAGCTTTACAACATAAAAAGATAGCAAACTTCCTATCAAAAATGATGATAGCTTCTTTCTCATATAAAGTTAGCTAGTAAATTGATGTGATCCTGATCATAAAACATTCATTTTCTTTGTGATTTGTAGTCTCTTCTATTTTATTTTGTTTTATTGCTGTGTTGGGGAATAAACTCAGGGCCTTGTGCATGCTAGGCAAGCACTCTGCCACTAAGCTACATCCCCAGCCCTGAATTACAGAATTTTAGTTACTGCTGTAGAAATGTTAGGAATGTTTAGAACATTTGTCATCTAGCTGTCTTTGGAATAAAGCTGAATGTTTGCCTCTCCCACTGCTACTTCCCTTTCTGTCCCATCTGAAATTTAAATTAATGATTAATTTACTTTCTTGGGTAAGTCTTTGGTTTCCTTAACACTTTTCTTTATGGGAAGGAACTGGATCAAAGATTAATAATGATCATTTATAGTTTGCTTTCTTCAGAATAGTCTTGTGATTTTCATGCTTACTGATAGAATCTTTGGGTCTAATTATTTGCTTTTATAATTTTGTTAAAGATCTCAGGAAACAGGCTCGACAGTTGGAAAATGAACTTGACCTGAAACTAGTTTCCTTCAGTAAACTATGTACGAGTTACAGTCACAACAGCACACGAGATGGAAGACGCGACAGGTATAGGTACTACCAGATTCTGTCTCTTATGCCTTAAATTATATAATGTTTTTAGAGAATTAAAAAAAAAACCACTAAAATATATAACTTTTATAACTTGCTTATTGGCAAATTATTGATGTTTTATTTTCTTTACCACAATTATTTTATTTTTTAGTGACTTATTACAATTTTTTCTAATTCCTGAAACTTCCATTTATTTGCGATCCTTAGGCAAAGTTTGTTATGGTCTCAGGAGGAAACTACTAGAGTTTAAGAATGAGTCTGTATCAAAAATAAGAGTCCCAGGGCTGGAGAAGTAGCTCAATGGCAGAGCACTTACCTAACATGTATTAGGCTCTGGTTTCAGCCCCCAGCACCACAAAAAACAAAACAAACAAACAAGATGAAAAATAAGAGTTGTGGGGCTGGGAATGTAGCTTGGAGTAGAGTGCTTGCCTAGCATGTGCCTGGCCCTGGGTTTCATCCCCAATACCACCAAAAAAGAGAGAAAGAAAGAGGAGTTCCTAGCTCAACCAGTATACAGAAATATGGCTAATTTGCCCACATGGTATCTTTTGTTTTCTAATTGCTAAAAGGATCTGAGAAAATACTCAAATGCAAACTATACATACTGCTCTTCTGGTGTTTATACTTTTGTAGTAAATCTAGTACAGTGTATCCTCACTATTAATCATCAAAGCTATTTTTGTTTTTGGTACTTTTTTGAGAAACTAGCATATTACTATGTTGAACTTACGGAAAGTATATTCTTTTATTGGAATCTTATGCTCACTTAAAGTCATCTACTTGTTTCACAAAAATACTAGGAAATATCTAAGACACCTAGAAAAGTGTAAAGAATGATGTAAAGGACTCGTATGTATCTGTCTCCCATTTTAAGAAATGACCGTAACGGATTCATCTGAAGCCCCTGATGGCATCCCATTCTCATATGTATGTGTGTATATCTTACCATATGTGTATTTTTATTACATGTGTTTATTCTTAGGATATTCATAATATACCTCAATAATTATTTTGCAACTTTTTTGTTTAACATTACCTTTGAGATTCAACTGGATACATTTAACTGGTATTTTCATTTACTCTATGTAGTACTACACTGAATGACTGTATCAGGGTTTAACATTCAATAGATAGACGTTGTTTCTAAATTTTTGTTGTTTTTGTTTTTGTACGGGGGAATGAACTCAGGGGCACTCTACCACTGAGCCACATCTCCAGCCCTATTTTGTATTTTATTTAGAGACGGGGTCTCACTGAGTTGTTTAGCGTCTCACAGTTGTTGAGGCTGGTGTTGAACTCTCAATCCTCCTGCCTCAGCCTCGTGAGCCACTAGGATTATAGGCGTGCACCATTGCACCCAGCTCTAATTTTTGTTAATTAATAATAATTTAAAAAAATTTTTTTTAGTTGTATGTAGACATAATGCCTTTATTTTTAGTCATTTATTTTTATGTAGTGCTTAGGATTGAACCCAGTGCCTCACCTGTGCTAGGCGAGCTCTACCACGAAGCCACAACCCCAGCCCCCAATAATAATTTTAATAGCTGACAAGAGTGTTCATCATATTTTAAGTACTGTTCTAAGAGCTTTATATAAATACTGGGAATATTTTCTTTTTCTTTTTTTAATGTAGAATGTTTCTATATACCCTAGCAATGAAATAGTTGGTGGCAGAGTTGTTGTTGATTAACTCTTATTTTCATGCCTTTTTCAAAGATTGGTGGTAGGTGGGATATTTTTCAGTTAAAAAAATACAAACAACAAAAACCTAACTTGAATTTGAACCTATATCTTTCTATCTCTAGAGCCCACTACACTCTAAAATAGCCCACCTACTACATTATGCACATTTCAACTAAAGGCTCATGTTAATGTTGTAGCAAGAGTGTTATTTCTTTTTAGTAAGGGCACCTAGGTTGCAAAGGTAGCAATTGACTCTGGGACCTCAAAATAAGTTGGTAGCATGTCACATGCGCTTCATTGCAGTGCATTGCTCTGGGCTGACCTTCATTGCATTTAGCAAATAATGAGAATGAGAAATGTTCTTTTTTTAAAATTTTTTTTTAGTTGTTGATAGACTTTTATTTTATTTATTTATATGCAATGCTGAGAATCGAACCCAGTGTCTCACACATGCCAGGCATGTGTGCTACCACTGAGCCCCAGCCCCAGAAATGTTCTTTTTTATAAGTAAATTTATTATATGGTTGGAAGACATTTTTATGGAATTTAAGTCTCAAATACAGTCCTGAGAATAGTGAATATGAAATAACCAGTAGCAAGTGTACAATTTTAAAACTCGTCTTTGTTTAAAGATACTGTTTGGGGATGGAGTTGTAGCTCAGTGGCAGATCACTTCCTTAGCACATGGGAGTCACTGGTTTCAGTCCTCAGCAACACATGTAAAAAATAAATAAATAAAATAAAGGTATTATGTCCATCTACAACTAAAAAAAATTTTTTTTAAAAGATACTATGTTTTATTTGCCATACCCATGCTTTTTCTGTGTTTTCTGTTCTTCTTAAGTATCATACTTTTGTTAACCTCCTTTAAAGGAAAAATTATCCTCAAAACATTCCCAAAGAAATTCTACTACAAATTGGGACTAACTTTGTAGAATTACTTTGGCTTAACTGCCCCTTTAAATAAAAATCCTAAGGTTGTGAGCATCAAAATCTAATGTACATGCTACATGTCACAATAATTAAACTCAGCAATGTGGAATTTTTCTTGACCATTTCCCTGGACTCAAATACAGTCCTGAGAATAGTGAATATGAAATAACCAGTAGCAAGAGATTGGTGTTATTCATTCATTCAATGAATAATTTAATGAGCATCTACCATGTCCAGGAGATAGGCAAAGATATATGAATAAGCCAGAGGCAGTTTCTTCCCTAAACCTAACTTTCTATTGGCCCATTGTTCCTTTTTATTTATCTGATAGGGGAGGACCTATATTAATAGTATACAGAGCATTTTTCTTGAGCACATCCTAAGAGATTAAACCTCTTGGCTTGGCTCTGACACATTATAAAGAATTAGAGCCCTGTACACTGTAATCCCAGTGGCTTCAGAGGCTGAGGCTAGAGGATTGTGAGTTCAAAACCAGACTCAGCAAAAATCAAGGTGCTAGGCAACTCAGTGAGACTCTGTCTCTAAATAAAATACGAAAAGGCTGGGATGTAGTTCAAGTGCCCCTGAGTTCAATCCCTGGTACTAATTCCAAAAAAAAAATTAGATATTTTGATATCATGTTTTAGGGCAAATAAATTAGAATATTCCAAGAAGTAATAAAAACTTTAGACCTAGTTAAACATCTTAAAATTAAAATGCTTATTAACTATTTTCTGTACCTAAGGGACTTTTTGAATGTTGAAATAATGATGTAATCTGTTTTATTTGCCATACCCAAGCACTGTTAGGTAGGACAAAGTCTTCAGTAAGATTGGAGAGCATAGTCAATGCCTGGGCATTTTTCTGTGTCCAGAGTATTTCCAATTTGTATTAATCTGCCCATACGGTAAAAATTGGGGACCTAATGAAAGATAGTGATTTTTCAAAAAGAGGCAAAAGAAACTTTCAGGACATGCAATTTTAGAATTTGAGCCTTTCAAACATATATTTCACTTAAAGTTAGATTTTGACTGACTATTCAGATATAAAGAGATAGTTGAATACATTTTTGCAAAATAAAATTAAATGATTGCATGTAACCAGTGGAAATGTAGAGGATTAGTGCATAAATATGCCAGACATGGCATTCTATAGGCTGAAAGCTAGTTCCTGATTATTCAATAGCTAGTTATTCATTCTGGATCATTTAAATCTCAATCTTATTTTTTCTTGGCAAGAGTCAAGAAAATAAGAGACCTCTGGGCATGGGGCACACCCTTGTAATCCCAGCATCTTGGGAAGCTGAGGCAGGAGAATCTCAAGTTCTAGGCCAGCCTTAGTGACTTAGTGAGGCCCTAAGCAACTTATCAAGACCCTAATCTCAAAATAAAAAATAAAAAGAGCTATGGATGTGGCTCAGTGATTAAGTACCCCTGGGTTCAATCCCTAGTACAAAAAAGAAAAAAAGAGAGAATGTAAGGCCTAGGAAACCATAATTTTGGAAGGTAAAAACTTAAAAGATTATTTCTCAAGCCTCATAGCATAATACATAATACATTTCAATGACTTCTCTTATAAGAAATTCAACAGTTCTACAGTTTTCTTTCACATAATCAAATTAAAAATTTAATTGGGGGGATGAGGTTGTGGCTCAGGAGGTAGAGTGCTCGCCTAGCATGTGTGAGGCTCTGGGTTCGATCCTCAGCACCACATAAAAATATAAAAATAAAGATATTGTGTCCACCTGTAACTAAAAATAAAAAAAGCAAATATTTTTAAAAATTTTTAATTGAATGCTGCCATAGCTTAATTTCTACCACTTGGGAGACAGTAAACAAGCATTTGGAATTTCTTTCCATTATTAAGAGTAGATTATTAAAGCTTGGAAAATTTTATATTTTATTATTTTTATGCTGAATTTAATATTGTAGGACATGTGGTGATCTTTATAGGAAAACTATAAATATCATAACTTTAAAGAAATAGAGGGAATGTTTCAGGAGTATGCTTGACCTCTTTTTTTTTTATAGTTGTAGATGGACAGAATGCTTTTATTTTATTTATTTTTATGTGGTGCTAAGGATCAAACCCAATGCCTCACACATGCTAGGCAAGAGCTCTGCCACTGAGCTACAGCCCCAGCCCTGTTTGACCTCTTTTTAAAATATTTATTATTATTATTTATAGTTGTAGATGGACACAATACCTTTATTTTATTTATTTATTTTTATGTGGTACTGAGGATCAAACCCAGTGCCTCACATGTGCTAGGTAAGCGCTGTACCACTGAGCTACAACTCCAGCCCTGTTTTTGACCTCTTTAAGAATAATTACCTTGGGTAGGGATTGTGGCTTAGTAGTAGAGCACTTGCCTTGTACATGTGAGGCACTGAGTTCAATCCTCAGCTCCAAATAAAAATAAATAAATAAAATAAAGTTAAAAAAATCCATAAAAAATAATTACCTTATTAGGTATGTTTTAAAGGACTAGAATTGAGTAATGGATTCTTTTAATTGAACTTTTCTTTAGTTCTGACACAACACCCCTTTTAAATGGATCAAGCCAAGACAGAATGTTTGAGACAATGGCAATTGAGATTGAACAACTTTTGGCAAGGGTAAGTGCTTTCTGTTAATTAATTGTGTACTTGTTATGTATGGTACTATGTTAAATTGTTGCAGACTTATTTATTGAAATCATACATTCATTTAAGATGTGTTCCTCCCCATGCCACTTGAATTTGATGACAGCCATCCCCAAAATGGGTATTATTTTAGCCTCTGTGAATTACTTGGCGGAAAATGCTGAATGGGTTTTGTTTTGCTATCAGTCAAAAGGGCATACATATATATAGAGAAATAATTTGCTTTTCGCTGCATATAGTGCTTTCTAAATTTTGTTTTAAATGTATTTTTTCTTTTTAGCTTACAGGGGTAAATGATAAAATGGCAGAATATACCAACAGTGCAGGTGTCCCCTCCTTGAATGCAGCACTCATGCATACGTTACAGCGACATAGAGACATATTACAGGTAATATATTGAGCTTGAAATTTTTTACATTATCACAAGAGTTTTGTTTGATTTGTTTTTTAATCATTTAATAGGGTAGGTACATATGTTTTTAAAAGAATAAAGAGAAAATTCTTCTGAGAAGATAAATGATATACTATATAGAAATTCATTTTTTATTTATTTTTTTTCTTTTTTGGTCAGTAGTGTAAAATTTGGGAAATACTTAATATATCTTGCTTTTTCCTGATGTAGTTGAATGCTTATCACTTGGTACATACACTTCCAGAAGACCTGTCAGCTAGCTGTAACAGAAAATAGCCAATATTCATGCATCAACAATAATATGGTGATTTAGATTACACTTTTATCAGGCTTTCAAGATAATATGGAAGGGAGAGTAATTTACTATAAATAGTGTATTGGTTGGGAAAATGTTAGAAGTATTCAATAAAAGCAAATAAATGCAAAGACTTATATGGGGGTATTAAAAATGTAGTACTTGAAAGAAGGGCTTTTTTTTTTTCCCTCCCCCAGTACTGGGGATTGGCCCCACAGACACTCTACTGTTCAACTGCATCCTCAGCCCTTTTTCATTTTTTCTTTTGAGATAAGGTCTTGTTAAGTTTCTGATGCTGGCCTTGAACTTGCTGTCTTCCTGATTCAGTTTCTTTCCCAAATTCCTAGGATTAATTAGAGGCATTCACCACCACATCCAGCCAAACATTGTAAATATTGATAAAATTCAGCTACCATTTCTAATTTTAAAAACTCTTTTTAAAAACCAGAATAGAACTAGAGTGTAGCTCAGTGGTAGAGTGTGTGCTTAGCATGCATAAGGCCCTTGGGTTTGCTCCCCAGCATCATACACAAAACAATAGGAATAGAAAAATTGTTCACCTAATGCAGAAATGTGACTCTCAGATTAAAAATCAGCATTGGAGTTAATGGTAAAGCACTGTAGATAAAAACAAAACAAGTATACCTATGTGCACCACAAATGTGTAATATTGTTTTAGAAGTTTGGGTAGGCAATTAGTAAAAAGAAATCTGAAATCAATATTAGAAAATAAGAGACAAAATTCCTTTCTTGTGATAGGATAAGATTATATGTCTCTATAACCAAGAAAATTAACTGAAAAATGTTAGAAACATTTAATTCAGTAAGATGGTAGATTAAAAAAAAATGATAGACTATAAAATTAGTATATAAAACCAAGCAGTTTTTCTACATAGAGTCACCTATTAGAAATATAATGGAAGGGGCTGCAGTCAATTCCCAGCACCACCACCACCCCCCCCCCCCCAAAAAAAAAAAAATGAACACAAACACACAAAAAAACCTGTATATATAATGATGAAACTATAAAATTCTTTATGTATAACTTGTATACTGAGGGACATAGAAGAAAATGTAAGCATAGGAAAGAATTATTTTGCTTTTGGATGGGAAAATTTCCCTCTAAATCGCCTTATAAATTGAATGTCATCCCAATGGAAGTAGCAGGGTTTTTTCATGTTTGTTTCATTCTTTTCATGACATAATGACCCAAAAGTTCATTTGGAATCATACACATACAAGAATAACTAAGAAAAGTAAAGCTCAATAAAGTTTATCTTCTAAAAATAAAGATAAGCAGTGGCTAATTTTACCAGATACTAAAACTTATTAAAAAGTTAGAATAGTTAAGACAGTTTGATTCTAGAAGAAAAAACATATGTACTAATAGAACAAAATAGAGTTCATATATGGAGTTCTATATATGCATGGAAATGTAGCTTCTGATAAAAGTGGGTGTTTTATATCAGGACAAAGAAATTATAAAATAAATGGAACTATAACAATTGACTGTTTGGGGGTTGGAAGATAACCACCTCAATTTCTACCTCAGCCCTCACAACCAGAATAAATTCTAGATGGACCAACGATTATATGTAGAAAAATAAGCATGTGCAAGGCACTGGGCTTAGTCCCCAGCAATGCAAAAGGAAAGTAAAACAGAAAATGAAACCATGAAATTTCAGAATAAAGCATGGTTGAAATTTATAAATTTTGGAGCAGTAGAGGGTTTTCTAAGTAAGGGCAAATACCAGAAACTGTAGAAAATAACTAATTTTCTTAATACTAAGAGAAATAATAGAAATAGAAAAAAGACAACTTAAGTCAAGCATGCTGGTACATCCTTGTAATTCCAGCAGCTGGGGAGGCTGAGACAGCAGCCTCAGTTCTAGGTCAGCTTCAACAATTCATTGAGGCCCTAAGCAACTTAGCAAGACCCTGTCTCAAAATAAAAAGGGATGGAGATGTAGCTCAGTAGTTAAGCACCCCTGGGTTCAACCCCTGGCACCCCAAAAAAGAAGAAAAATGACAACTTAGGAAAATAGTCAAAGAATATAAATTTGCTCACTTAAATGAGTGGCTGAGGATTGTGGGTATAGCTCACTGATAGAGCCTAGCATGCTCTTGGGCCTGAATTCAGTCCTTGGCAACACACACACACACACACACACACACAGAGGCTGAAACCAAAAGATGTTCGGGTCATATTCCCAAATAAATATGCAAATCAAAATGAGATTTTTTTTCACCTATCGGATTAACAAATATTCAAATATTTGTAACCCATGATTGGCAAGCATGTTGAAGAATAGGCACTCATAAGTCATTGGTGGGTCGGTAAATTGGTGCAGTCTTTCTAGTAGGCAATTTAGCTCTATCAGAATTTTTTTCCCCCAGTACTAGGTATTGAATCCAGGATCTGGCACATGCTAGGCAAGTGTTCTACCACTGAGCTTCATTCCCAGCTTTTTTTTTTTTTTTTCTTTTTAATTTTATTTTGAGACAGGCTCTCAATAAATTGCCCAGGCTGGACTTGAACTTGTCATTCTCCTGCTTCAGCCTCCCAAGTAACTGGGATTACAATCATATGTCTGCCCATCTATTCAACAAAATATATGTACAGGAATGATTATTGCAGCTTTTGTGTGTGTGTATTTGTATATATTGTGCTGACAATTGAACCCGGTGCCTCACATACAGGTAGGTTAGTACCCTACCACACTGAGTACATTCCTAGCCCCTATTGCAGCATTTTTAATAGAAAATAATGAAAACAACTAGAATGTTTATCAGTAGTGAATTTATTAAATTATGATAGAGTCATAATATTCTATGCAACTATTAAAAAGAGTGATGTAGGTTGTAGATACATTTAGGATGTATCTACCAAACACCTGCCTATCATGCATGAAACCCTGGGTTCAGTCTTGTACACCACCAGAAATAAAAGTAAAAATAAAGGAAGAAAGTAATGTAGATTTCCATTTGCTGGTATGGAAAGATTGCTTGACATTTTATGATCTATAAAAAATAGAGTGTGCATCAGAATGTATAGTATGATTTCTTTAGCAAAATATGAATGCAAGCCAGGTACACTGTTGCACACCTGTAATCCCAGCAACTTGAGAGACTAAGACAAGGGGAGTGCAAGGTTAGGGCCAGTCTCAGCAACTTAGCAAGACCCTGTTTCAATTTATTAATATAATCTAATTAATTAATTTTGATATCAGCATTGAACCCATGTGTGCTTAACCACTGAGCCATATCCCCAACCCTTTTATGTATTTTATTTAGAGACAGGGTCTCACTGATTTGCTTAGGGCCTTTCTGCTGAGGCTGGCATTCAACTTGCAATCCTCCTGCCTCAGCCTCCTGAGCCCCTAGAATTACAGGTATGCAGCACCACACCCATGTTTAAATTTTTAAAAGATTAAAAAGGGCTGGGTACATAGCTTCACAGTGAGTGCCTGCAGGTTCAATCCCCTATGCTGGCGGTGGCGGTGGGGGGGGGGGGGGGGGGGGAGAAAGAAATAACAGACAAAATTGAATATGTAGAAACATGTTTCTTGGAAGAAAACACAAGAAAGGGATGATAATAGTTATGAATGGAGGAACAGGATTTTTTTAAAACCCTGTTCTTTTACTATTCTCCCCATATTCATGTGTTTTATTTGTTTTTAAAAGATTAGTCAATAGAGGCCTTCTGGGAGATGGTTCATTTTATTTATGTACTTTTCTGAATTAAAAAAATAATATTCTTTAATGCCTTTTAAAAATACAGTAGTATAAAAATAAAATGTTTTAAAGATTATTTTGTTCCTTGCAGTTCTTTTGATTTTTGTTCTTCATTTAATTTATTTTGGAATTAAAATTCAGTGGGAGCATCAAAAGGAGAGGATTTGAGCTGAGGGGTATAGCTCAATGGTGAAGTGTTTGTCTAGCATGATGAAGGACCTGGGTGTGATCCCCAGCACTGCAGAAAAGAAAAAGGAAAGAAAGAAAAGAAAAGAAAAAAGGAAATTTAGAAATAAGCCTATTACTAGGTTTATTGAGTTTAAATAAATAAACAAAACTCTCAAAAATTCTATCCTAAACCACTTGAAATCATTTTACTTAGGATTTTATTTTTATTCATAATTATACCTCATAAGACAAGGTACTAGACGATAGAATGGAAAAATAGTGTTTAGAAATTTACAGTATGATGACATGACTTATGTTGAGACTAGATGTTGATTTATTGCAGGATTATACACATGAATTTCATAAAACCAAAGCAAACTTTATGGCAATACGGGAAAGGGAGAATCTCATGGGATCAGTACGAAAAGATATTGAGTAAGTTACCTTTTATATTATTTTGTAGAGTACTTATGAAGATTTAGAATATAATTGTAGTTAATTGCAGTCAGGATTTAGATTTCAGGGTTTCTAATTATCATTTCAACATTTTTGGAACAGACTGCTACATTCTGATCCTGATTACTTTGCCAGTCTTATCTCCTGGTTCCCTAGTTTTACCATTGTCTCCTGCCAACCTTGAATTTCCTGTCTTTATTCAAAGTCTAATTTACATGACATCTTCATGAGATCTTCTCTGACCTTTTATATCTACCCTAAGAATAATAACGTAACTGAAGTTCTCCATGTTGCCCTTGATGAACATCTATCTCCTGCTCCTCTCCCTTTTCCCAACAATTTTATATTCAGGTAGCTATTAATGTAACCTTTATTTCCCTGAAATTCTGAAATATTTGTTTTTTTCCAGATTTAATACAAACTCATCATTTTACATTAAATTATTTAAGGACTTCAAACATTTTTATGCTTATCTCAGTCCATAAGTTTAAAGATTTTTTTCTTTTCTTCCATTCCTTCACCTCATCCTTGATGATATATTCTACCATTTCATACTTTTTTTTTTTTTTCTGTGGTACTGGGGATTGAACCCAGGCCCTTGCTCATGCTTCACAAGCTCTACTATTGAGCCACATCCCCCAGCCTGCTTTTCTTAGGTATTCTCGAATAACTTTTCAGAAATGAACTTGACTGACCATCAAGTCTAGTTCTGTGGCCATCTAATTGAAGCTGAAGACTTTCCTATTTTGGACCATCTAATGATACCTATCATTGTCTCATTGTGATAAATTTATGCTGTTTCATAAACAATGATATACACTTATCACAATTTGGTATGTGTTATGTGTACTCTAAGAAACATTTTCCTAAAGCTCTCTTATTTTGTTATACTACTGTGACAATCATAATATTTTTGTCCCTTGGGTCTTTTGTTTAGTTTCTATACAGTTGACTTCATATGCATTTTGAGGAATACAATGAGAACCACGGTAGAGAGTGGCCTTTAATGTATAAACAGCACTTCCATACTTTGTAGGAGTGACTAGACTGCAACCCTCTATAATGACTTAGTTTTGAAAAATGATGATAAAAGTATGTGCAGCCAATTCATTAAACTGTTTCCTGAGCACCAACTATGAGTAAGACATTATGTAGCCACAATAGATGGTAGAAATGAAAAGACCAGCTTGGCCCTGTTTATAATCTAGGTGCTAGAGGGGAATAAGGTACGTTATTTAAAATAGTATAACACAAGGCATAATATGATTAGTGAGATGAGGTATAATAACAATACCTGAGACTTTTGTAGTTTTTTGCAGTTTACATAATACTTTTCCATGTATTCTCTTTTTGCTTTCAAATAATTTTTTGATAAAGATAGAAATTATTGGTCTCATTTTATAAAGCTAGGTGTTACGAGTCTTGTCTAAGGTTAATTGACTATTAAATCTAAGTAATCAGTTATCTAAGTCCAATATGTTGTTGGCTGTATCATTGTCCTGGTGTTTTTCTGTTGTACTTTGTATAGTAGTGCTGCCTCTCAGCCAGTACCTCAGTTTTAGCAGCATGACCCTCTTTTGTCTTAGAGCAACATTTGTGCAGTTTCTTGAATTTTTAAAAATTCAATACTTTATTTTTAGTGGAACACAGAAAAATGAGAGTGTTAATGATAAGACATTTTTTGTAAAATTTAACTAAGTTAGAAATCTTTAAGTATACCAAATTTGGCACTTTACTGAATACTTCATTTCATTGGTCCTTAGGCTTAGTTGATGATGACATCTACTGTTTTTTGTTGTTGTTGTTGTTGTTGTGTGGTGCTGGGGATTGAACCCAGGGCCTTGTGCATGCCAGGCAAGCACTCTACCATGTGAGCTATATTCCAAGCCCGGTACACACTGTTTTGAAGAAAAATTTCTGTTTTAATGCTTTCCGCTCCACATACCATGTTCTAATCAGTCCATTGTTTTACATCCACTTGGAGAAATTGACGATATAGACAAAGAAAGGAAAAAATAACATTTTTTGTTGTTGACTAAGAATATTGGGTTATTTTAATGAAAAGCATAGTAAACTCTTAGGTCTTAGAGAAGCATTTATATTTACAATAGCATTCTTAGAGGGAAATGAAAAAAGTTTTAATTATTCAAAACAATGAAGAGGCACAGTTTGTTCACTTTTGATCTCACTAGGGTCAGTCACTTAATCTGATTTTTATAGTGTTTTCCAAAAATGTTCTTAAGTTTTCTTTATGTTGTTCTAGGTCATATAAAAGTGGATCTGGAGTAAACAACAGAAGAACTGAACTATTTCTGAAAGAACATGACCACCTTAGGAAGTAGGTATTATTGAATGTAACTTATATGTAATTTCCTATGTTTATTAATTCACTTATGCAAGAAACATTTTATGATGTTATCATAGAAAGTGCTTTATTGATGATAATTCATTTAATTTTCCTAATGACAGTGCTCAGTAGAAATGAGAGTTGTGGACTGGGGCTGTTACTCAGTGGCAGAGTGCTTGCCTGGTATACACAAGGCCCTGAGTTAATTCCCAGCACCACAAAAAAAAGAGGAAAAAAAGGAATTGTGGTCGTTCCAATTATTAGGAAGATACTGTGCTGTTGAATATTTTACTTCACTTGTTACTTGTTATGTTTTTTATTATCTTAATGTAATAAGTCTAGTACTTTAATACTTTTGTCTATAATAAATGAATGTACACACATGTACATAGTAAACTGTTTCTGTGTCTACATAATCTATATATGTGTACACACTGTATATACCTATAGTAAAAATGATGATTATGTTTTATTGGTCTGTTATCACTTACGTATTGAAGAAGCTTTATAAAAGGTAATTAGGCCATATATCAAATTTAAAAGAAAAGTTTTGTTGTCCAAGATATCAGAAGAAAATATCAAAAACTTGGATGAACTATATGCTTATTTTAAAGCAAGTCACCATAGTCTGTTTTTGTGTCATCTATTTTTTTCTGAAGTAGATTAGGTTTTCTCTTTTTGTTTTGCTGTCTATATTTTGTGGTGGAACTTAAGGATTAGAAAAAAATACTTATCTCTGAACTCAGCCTATAAGCACTTGAGAAGCTTGTATCCATAATAGTGCTAAAAGTTATGAAGATATTTGCTACTGAATGCCATAAATGTTATATGAAATTTAGGTATTGTTCAATTCATTTGTCTTTAAAGATCACCACTTTAAATATAAACTGTTAAAATCAAAACACAGAAAGAGCCAAGCATGGTGGTGCATACCCATAACTCCAGCTACTCAGTTGACTTAAGGCAGGAGGATCATTTCAGCCTCCAAGTTTGAAACCAGACCAGCAATATAGTGTGACCCTGTCTCAGAACAAAACAAACCAAAACAACACACAGAAAGATCAGGGTCTTTTATCTATCTATCTATCTATTTATTTATTGAACATAGGCAAGTACTCCGCCAGTGACTACACTCCCAGCCAATCAAGGCTTTCTTTAGGAATTCCATGCTTTTAGTGTTAGAACTAATCATTGGTTGTTCTTCCTTAATTTATGAATATCATTGATTGGCACAAGGGGGCACTGTCTCCTAGAGTATGTTTATAGTAATAGCTTTGTCATAAACATTTGGTAAAGACCACTGTAAAAAGAATTTTGCATTGTGTCCAAAACTATACTAATATGTTCTTGTGGTTCAGAGTAATTAAGGGATAGCATATTTAAGCAGTAGAAACTAATAGTTAGATTGCATTAGTGTTTCTATATTTATTTCCTCAAAAAGAAATTAAACAGTTAAAAAAAATGTGGTAGTTTACTTTTAAAAGGGTTATTTGAAGCTGGGCATGGTGGAGCACCCGTATAATCCCAGGTACTCAAGAGGTTGAGGGCCAAAGGATAGTGAGTTTATGGCCAGCCTGGTCAGCATAAGTAGACCTCATCTAGATAGGTGAGTCAGTAGAGACAGACAAAACTTGGAGACAACACAAATGATCTTTCTCCTCAAATATTTCCCACTAGTTTTAACATTCATTCATGAATCTTATATTCCCATTTACAACTGTGGTGTTTGCTTATTGGTGATTTTCTATTTCTATGGGTCCTTTTTATACTTATTAATTATAATTTTGTAAGAAGAGCTCTCTCTTCTCTGCCATTTATTTTGTTTATTTAATTATTTATACCAGGTTAGATTCACAAATAACTATGAGTTTTAATCCAGGACTAGAATTACTTCGTTGCTTGAATTGTTCTATATTTTGTCATTGGAAGTTCCTTCAGGTTAGTTTCTGACATTTAACATTGCTCATTTCTTTGAGTACTTCTTTTACTTTCTGGCATCATGAAATATTCATGGCCTGTATTAAATTTTACTTGCCTCAACTCTGGAGTCAACTGGGCACTTTACCACTGAGCTATATCCCCAGTCCTTTTTATTTTGAGATGAGGGTCTTGCTATATTGTGGAAGCTGGTTTTGAACTTGGAATCCTTCTGCCTTAGCTTCCTGAGTTGCTGGGATTATAGGCATGTGCCACCATGCCTGGCTTGTAATCAACTACTTCTCTAAGCAGACTTGGTTTATGGTATTCAGAAAGTAAGATTTGTGTGCTAGGTGTTGTTATTGCTTTTGAGGAGAGTACTTCCATGCTTTTGTTGCTAAAAATTTTATCATGAATGGGGCTGAATTAATTTCTTTATCTTTGTGTGTCTTTCTTTTTGCATCTATTGAAGAGATTGTTCTTATCCTTTATTGCTGTAATATTGTGAATTATGTTGATTATTTTTAAATAGTAAAACAATCTTGCATTCCTAAAACAACCCCCACTTGATCATGATATATTGATTATCCTTTCTGTTATTTTGCTGGATTTATTTTGTTTGGGATTTCTGCATTATTGTGAGAAATGTCTGTAGTTTTCTGTCCTTAAGATGTCTTTGGTTGTATTATATGAATAATATTGGCCCCATTAAATGATTTAAGAAGTGTCCCTTTTTATTATTTTCTGAAAGAGTTTATTCAGGCTTGTTATTTCTTTCTTAAATGTGTATTAGAATTTTTCAGTGAATTTATCCTAGCTTGGAGGTTTTCTTTGTGACAAGATTTTTAAATTAAATATTTAGGGTTTTGTTTTTGTTTTTGTTTTTTTGTAGCTGTAGGACTGAGTTGCTTGGATTTATCCCTGGCCAGTAGGTGACTTACTATAATTGGTTTTACCCGAGTCACAAATTCATCCTTGTGGCTAGATGATTGGAAAATCTGTTATCAGAAGAGAGTGTGGCATGTTCAGGGCTCCAGGGTAGTTATTAGCCAATTGGTTACATCAATTTAAATTTACTTTACTCTTCTATACTATAAGCTTTATACTTTGAAATAGTATGGTTAAGTAAAATCTCTTTTTCTAATGTTTATTGAAATGAGCTTTTACTTTAATACTACCTTCCTCCCTCCATTTTTCCATGAGTGAATTAAGAATTTTTTATGGGTCTTTAGGGCTATAGGTCTATAGGTCTTTATCAACCTGCTGCCTTAATCTCTAACCTCATTGCCCTCTTTCTGTTACTTCATCCAGCCACTCTCTCCTTTTGCCTACTAGGTACCAGCCATACTCTTTGGTTCCTTTCTCCAAGACATCAAACCCTTTCCCTTTTTAGCCTATTTGCATTTATGCTACTTAATCTTCTTAGAATACTCCTCTCTTAATTTTACATATAACTTATTCATCTTTATGGTCTAAACTCACTTGTCATCTCCTCAAACAGTCCTTTTCTAACTCTTTTTTGAAATAGGCCCTCCCTTACTTTTTTTTTTTTTTTTTGAGTTTGTATAAGTTATTTATTAAAAAATAGACAGTGAGATCTTATTACATTTAGATGATTTTCTTGAATTAATGAAAATGTATAAAAAAAAAAAACAATGGTACCACGATGCATCCTTTGTAGACAAAAGGGAGATTTGCAAAGTGTGCAGGTATTAGACTCTTGATCAACCACTTTGATATCTGCATTTTAACCATGCCAGGATCCCATTGTCACAGAGAGTCATCACATTTGAGCCTGATATACCATACACTCATCAATTCATAAATTCCCTTTTTCTTCTGTCTTTTCATCATATTAATAGAGATATTGCTGGATAATCCAACAGCCTAAATTCCTGTGCCTGCCCTACCACAGTCAAACACTACTGGGCAAAGTGAGAGGAGTTAAGTTATAAATTTATGATCAATAAATTCAAATTGAGGGGCTGGGGATGTGGCTCAAGCGGTAACGCGCTCGCCTGGCATGCGCTGGGCGCTGGGTTCCATCCTCAGCACCACATAAAAATAAAATAAAGATGTTGTGTCCACCGAAAACTGAAAAATAAATATTAAAAAATTCTCTCTCTCTCTAAAAAAAATAAATTCAAATTGATTAAAATTTTCTTTTCTGTCCTTTCTCTGTAATAACTTGCCCTCATAATTGGCACGTGTGCATACATCCATTCTGAAAAATTCCAAAGTCTTCTTAAACTTCAGCCTTGCTGTTATTTAACAAAGCACTTTGTATCCCCCAAAGAAAATCTGTAATCATTTGTTCTTTTAATTTTTTTAGCACCTGACCTTCCTTGAATGTAAGCTTCATGAGTCTAGTTATTGGCATTCCTGGGTCTCCAGTTCCTATTATATTATAAATACTTAGTATTTATTTGTTGTATTAATAAACAGATATAAACAGAAAATATTAATTTAGATTTAATATGCATATGGATATATATGTATGCCCCACTGTAGAACACTTTTTCATTCATCCACTAATGTTCCAAGTGTTTATTGAATACATATTATAACAAGGATTGATTTAGATGCTAAATATATAAAATTTGATTTTAAGGACTAAAGGGGAAATTACCAATGTAACCAATTTTTTGTTTTGCAAAATAATTCCCCATAAAATACCTTTTAAACATTTAAATTCATATATACAATAAAATAATAATAAAAGCATCTCTTATTTATAAATGAGGAAACAAGATTCAGGAAAGATGTAGGTCAAGGTCTCATAACTATTTAATGGTATAGCTCTTACTAAATGCACATTTTCTAACCCATTTCCATAGTTGTCCCACATCATACTGCCTTCCCTTCTTTAACATTTTATTTTCATTGTACTAAGGAACCAGTATGGCATAATGTTACTGAGAATTGAAAGACCAGTTTTTCACCTCTCTGAGAGCAAGTGACCTGGCCACTCTCTTTTCTTTTTTCCTTCATCTTTAAAATTAAATGGTAGGTGCTTCTCCCCCAGTGTTACACAATTGTAAGGGTGAACAGCTTTAGTGCTGTCATTTGATAAA